CAACACGATCAAACGACTACCGCATGGTGGTGTCACAAGTTGGATCACCTCAGGAAGATGGCTAGGAAATTCTTTAATAAGGCAAGAACCACAAAACTCAAAGAGGACTGGGATACTTGCAAATCTCACCTCAGAGAATACAAAAAAATCGTCAGACAAAAACAGAGAAATGCATGGAGATCCTACTGCGAAGTGATCGAAGATTTCCCGCAGGTAGCGAGGCTTCAAAAAGCTCTCTCAAAAGATCCACACCGAAGCATTGGTGTGCTAATCAAAGAGGATGGCACGAAAACTGCCAACCTCGAAGATATCATCAAACTTCTGCTGTCAACACACTTCCCTGACTCGGTCATCGCAGACGTGGCCGACTGGGCAGAGGAAGAATACAATCCATCTGTCTATGATTGGCAACACATTGTAGATGATGAAAAAATTAGATGGGCAATATCCAGCTTCTCTCCCTTTAAATAGCCAGGACCTGCCGGTATCTATCCAGCCCTACTTCAGTGGGGTATGGAAGAACTCACACCGCACCTGGTGGGTATATTCAGATCCTCGTTGGCTCTGAGGTATATCCCCAAAACATGGAAAGAGGTAAAAGTGGTATTTACACCCAAACCTGGAAGGATGAATTACACTGTCCCAAAAACATACCGACCAATTAGTCTGACATCGTTTTCCATGAAGACATTGGAAAGGCTTTGCAAAAGGTACATAAGAGATGCGGTGATTACAACAACACCACTACACCCTAACCAACATGCATACACCCCGGTCAGATCAACTAATTCAGCCCTTCATCTAGTTGCTGGCCGGTTAGAAAGATCCCTGGACAATAAGGAGTCCACCTTGGGTGTTTTCATAGACATATAAGGTGCTTTTGATAAAACCACCTTCACAAAGATAATACTCTCACTAACCAACAGGAATGTTCCACAAATGGTTAGTGGGTGGATACATAACATGCTATCAAAGCGATCAGTAAACAAGTGTAGAAGATGTGAATATAAGAGGCTTGGTTGCGAGGGGATGTCCACAGGGAGGAGTGCTATCACCTATATTGTGGAATATGGTCCTCGACACCCTCATCAGCCGCCTCAATAATAACAGTCACTACACAATAGCATATGCAGATGACCTGGTCATTCTGCAAACAGGTAATTTTGAGAACATACTTTGCGAAAGAATGCAAGTAGCTCTAAAAATTATAGAACAGTGGTGCAAGAACCATTCACTGTCTATTAATCCTAAGAAGACAGAAATGGTCCTTTTCACAAGGAAAAGGATGCAAGTTGAATTAAAACCTCCAGAACTCCTAAACACAAAACTAAACTTTGCAACAGAGGTGAAGTACCTAGGTCTTACCTTTGACAGCAAGTTAACATGGAACTCACATTTAGAAAACAGAGTTAAAAGAGCATACATTGCTTATGAACAATGCCGCGGCTATCATACGACCTATGCTAACAAACGGTGCAGTTGTCTAGGTACTGAAAACCCAAAAATTAACAGCTATCCGTAAACTAGAACGAATTCAAAGAAAGCATGTCTCAACATAACAGGAGCCATGAAAACAACTCCGACCAACTCACTCCCCTTGATGTTTACATCAAGAAGGTTGCTCTGACGACAATGACACGCCTCCGCATGGTTGGAATAGAACCTGATGTAGGATCTGGTGAGGCGAGACGTCGCTTTTGGCAGGAGACGCTCGATACGCTCCCACTGCTTCAAGCGAACATGGACTCCATCTTACCGAGGTACATATATCTTCCATAAGCCATATAAAGTTATAATAGAACAAATAGAATAGCCAGAAGTTGCAGGTACGATTCATATCTACACCGACGATTCTAAAACAAAACAAGGCTCAGGATGTAGAATATACTCCAGATTCTTAAACCTAAACATAAAATGGGCTGTGAGCAATAGTGCCAGTGTAGTTCAAACAGGGGGGATTCTCATATCAGCAAAAGAATTAACCAGAAACAATATCACTGGAAGGAACATGCTCATCTATACAGATATTAGACAAGCACTACTCACTCTGAACAGACCACGAATTTACTCAGGGTTAGTACTAGTACTAGTTACTACTACGAAACTTTGGCCGAAGTATCCATCAACAATGTGGTCACCTAAAGATGGATCGAAGGTCACGCCGCATCGAAAGGTAACCGTCTTGCTGATTCACTAGCCAAGAAAGCAACCAACCAAATATTTTTTGGAACTGGCCCTTCTATTGGCCTGACCGAATCGGTAGTGACAGACCTAATTAAAGAACATTCCCTTGTGAAATTCAAGGAAAGATGGGATGAAACAAGAAACTGCAAAGTTGCCAGGGAGCTCCTAAGTTATCCTGACAACACTGCAGCAAACAAATACTTGAATATGACTAGACAGAATCTGCGCCTAGTCACAGGCATTCTGACTAGTCATTGCCAAGTACAGAAGCATCTCCATATCATGGGGTTGTCAGAATTCGCACTCTGCAGAGGGTGCGAACAAGAAGATGAGACCATCGAGCATATCCTTTACGATTGCTCGACGCTCTCATTTATTAGAAGATTTGTGGTTGGCGAGTATTGGCGACGTTGTCAACTACATTAAATCCATAGGCTGGCTCACGAGCTAGGAGATGCCTATCATCTTAGGAGGATACACAATGGGCCTAATGAGGCCTAAGTGCCGTGAGGCTAACCCACCCTCCGCACGTTACAGATACAGATGGTCCTTACTAATAATGCCACCGTAGTTTCACTGTGCACGAATATTATAACATGGGCGTACTAATTTGCCTACTTACTCAGAAAGCGTCGGTAATCGGTGGACTAGGGGACGTTTTGAAAAAAAAAATACTTGTGGCACTCGGGGATTGCCGCGATAAAGCTATTGCATAGCATTTTTAATCAACTTATGCAATTATAATTATCTATTTATTTTATTTATGCAGTATTTTTTTTCTTTGATATTAATTCAAGTTTTTTTCTTTGATATTAATTCAATTTACACTTTTTGAGCGTGATGACCGATAAGAAAAGAATTTTTTTTCTTTTATTGAATAAATGAGAAGTTAATATTGTTTAAAATATTTTTATTATCTTACAATACATGTAGGTTATTCAGGAATTTTTATCATTGAAACTATAGGTTTATGGTAATTGAAATAAGTAACATAAGTTTGAGACTTGATATCCTCTAAATATCTGGAAAATACCGCGTCAATGGTGGCCACATATTTTGTTGTGGATTCTTGTGGATCATTATTCATTTTCAAATTCAATTTTTCCGAAATTGTGTCTAAAAGAGATAGAATCAGTTAGCAGCTAGTCTACACGCATACGTCTAGTCGCACGCACACAAACACCGTGCCGAAGTCGGCCGAACTGAAACGACGTTAGCCGAAGCACGGCTTTCAACGCCGCATCGCTGTGCCGGTCGGAGTGGGGGGTGTTAGGTTTATTTTCGTTACGGAATTTCTGTTTCGATTTTTTGATTTTTCGATTTTCTTTTATTGAATAAATGAGAAGTTAATATTGTTTAACGCCGCACCGATGTGCCGGTCGGAGTGGGGGGTGTTAGTTTTTTTTTCGTTACGGTCGTTACGGAATTTCTTGATTCGGTCGCCGCGCTCAAAGCCCGCGATAAAAGCTATGCAATAGCTTAAAAATTAATATTTTATAAATCTTGCAAAAAAAATAATATCTAATAATTACGCCAACCGGGAACATTTGTGATACCAATTTATTAGAAGCCAGAGAAAGCTCTTCTAGTTCTTGTTTTGCATAAACGTTCGAGTCCGCAGACGTATATTTAACTCCGCTTCATACTAATACGAATAGGGTCGGATAAAACCTTCCACGGCTTTCAAGTTGAAAGTTTCAACGCCGCACCGCTGTGCCGGTCGGAGTGGGGGTGTGTTAGGTTTATTTTCGTTACGATGTTACGGAATTTCTTGATTCGGTCGCCGCGCTCAAAGCCCGCGATAAAAGCTATGCAATAGCTTAAAAATATACCCCGTATCTCGATTAGTTCTAACTAGTCAATAGCATGTAATGTACCACTTTTTAGATCTCATTGAGTAGATTTCGAATCACTATAGATTTGTTGAGTTAACTTCAGGAATAGCATTCTGATTTCTGACAAAACAATAGCTGAGATATCCATAGGTCTCCTCCTAATACGTCTCTTAGCGCAAAATGCATATCGCTACAGTACAAATTTACTAAAAATATTAATGTAAATGGTATTTAATTTTAGTTTACTTATAATTAGGGCAATTTAGTATGTTTTTGATTAGATGATTAAATCAAATAATTGCATAATGTATTTATTGTAAGGGGCGATCCACAAAAAATGTTGATCTTGGAAAAATTACGTATGTCGAGCTAACAATTCTTTTTTTATAGTGTCATTTTGGATTTAATTCAAAGCCGCGCGTAGTTATCACGGACATGATTCGTATATCTGTCTTTGTTGGTCATGGCCTACTTTGGAAACATATTTTGTGGATCACTCCTTATTTTATTACTTATGCGTTTGCAATGATATAAATTTAATTTAGAATATTGAGTGAAAGAGCGCTGCTTAATCACTATCCCTTTCGGGATACTCTTTGAGTACCATTTGGGAACGCGAGACCGAGCCAAGTGACCGCGTAAGGCGACCGAACTGCGCCTTTTTAGTCTGAATCACATGTAATTATATGAAGCACATTTGTGACTGAGCGACCGACGCAAGAGACTGCGACAGGACTTTCGGCACCGGTTTCGGAGCAGTGTTTCTTGCCTTGAAGCGTAACGTAAGTAGATCAGTCATCTGTTGCGGTCGCTTGCATCGGTCTCGCTTTCCCAAAAGGTACCTTAAGGTTTACCTTTTTGAAGTAATGTTTGATAGTCTGTATTCATGAGAGCAATATAGTTATTATTATTGTTGATATTACTCTATACTAGCAAAACGAGTGTACTTGGTATTCTAATTTTCTGCTTTTCTTTTTACAGATAAAGATGACAATTCCGTTCCATACAAAAGCGTACAAGACGTGAGTATATTTGAATTACTTTTATAATTAATTCGTATAAACGCTGTTGCTAATTTAATTAAAACAAAGAATAATGAACGTGTTAAGGAAATGACTCCCTACTGGCTTTCTCTTTAAAAAGGCGGTTAAAGTAGCAAACCTTGTCGGGTGCGATTCGCTTGACCCAGATGAGGATAGCCCGTAATTTCGCTTTTACTGTTTCAGTTTTTATTGGCTTGTTACATTAATAATCTATTTCTGACGTTTATTTACGGTTATAAAATAACCATTCGGACAAATTTTTGATTTAATTGCTGAAACTTAAAAATAACATATCGGAGAAGTAGTTTGTAAAAATTGTTTTGTATGTAATTAGGAAGCGATTTTGTAGTCTAAAGTGACAAAATAATAATTTATCTATAGGAAGAAAATCGGTTTAAATTTAAAAAAAAACTATCGGTTATTGTTTCGAAAACAAAGGTAGATAAATTCTCTTCACAAATAATTAAATGTTTATTTTACGTATGAAGTTTATTAATATTAAAATAATGTTACAAAAATAATAATTATTAAAACAAATGGAATAACACAGTCTTAACAAAAGAAATCGACTGCATTCCTCAACGGTGTTCGACAATCTATCCATCCAAAAATTGGTCCCACTATAGTTAAACGACCCTTTTCTGTCGACCGCCGTGTTTATGATGTTTTCCTTTCCCAGAATCGTCTCGGGTTAAGGGACCATCCAAATAATAGATTACACTTTGGAAATCTGCAAATACATTTTCAAAATTTACCCTTACGAAATCTTGAAAAGACATTACCAGTTTCAGAAAAAACTTTCGCTATATACACTACTGGCTAGGGTTATATTACGTTTCGCCCCCATCGTTTAACCTCGACTGTTTTACCTCCACTGTTTTGTCCACGATTTTTCACCCTTTGACGTTTCGCCCCCCCCCCCCCCCCCCCTACTGTTTTGCCCTGCGTTGTTGACCCCAATAATTTTAGTAAATAAAAACAAAGCCAATTATTTTAAAATAAGAATGTTTAAAAATTTAAAATTATTCCGAATCCAAAATCGTGCAGCTGCCATTACAAATTGAGTTTGCTGATTTTCTCCCCATCACCAGATCTTGACAAAATTTATATGGGACCACCATTGAGATACGCCCTTTCTAACAAAATCATAAAAATCGGTTTAGGTGGTAAAGAATTATCGCTAAACATACATGAAAAATGAATTTGATAATTTTCTAATGGACCCAATTATTATATCTTTACCAAATTTATATGGGACCACTCCTGAAGTATCCCCTTTCTAACAGAAAAAAAATCCTAGAAATCGGACAACGTAGTAAAGAATTATTGCTAACATAGATATAAAAAAATGTAGAGGAATTGAAAACCTTTCTTTTTTGAAGTCTGTTAAAAATGAAAAAAATTAAAAAAACTTAACTAATTTACCTAACCTTTACGGCATAGAACTGTAAATATCAGAAAAGTTCAGTCAATAACAAAAGTTCAGTCATTAATGGAAGTTCAGTATAAATCACAATCTCAAAATAATCATCGATGGACACTGAATTTTCAGGAAAGTCGTCACTTTCTAATAAACATAATTACATTTCTTACCTTATTAGTATTACTTTTATTATTTAAACATACTTGTTAATTTATCTTTTTAATTATTATTTATTGAGAGAAAAAGGGGTCGGGGTTGAACGACCTGACGGGGGCAAAATGGCAGAGGCGAAACGGTGAGGACGAAACATCACCATCCCCATAAATACTTTATTTTATTTTGTTTTCACTAAGCATGAGGGGAATAATTCCTTTCTTCATTTTTTTCATTCTGAATTAACGCTATATTTTAATTTGAATCCATGTTGGTTTCTTTAACTATTTGATTTGTACTTGTCGACCCACTAAAGCAATCCCAAAAGTTAAAAGTATAGCTTTGCAGTTATCTTAATCTTCTTTAATTTTTTTATTTGAGGCGTTTCTTGTTCTTGTCCATGCAGTGTGCTCGTGACTTATATTAGACATTGGTGTTGATTTGATTTTTTCTGTTTAATCATTGTCAAAAAAAGCAGTTTTAAAACTGGGATCTAAAAAAGTTAGTGCGGAAATAGTTGTTTGTGCAACAAGAGTGGATATGATGGCCATATCACACAGAGACGAAGTCTGAGTGCGATTCGAACAATTCATTCGAGTTGTAGAATTTATTGTTTCTACGACCCTCCAACGAAAATCTACAAATTTTAAAAATTATTTTAGGTTAGATAAAATAACTGATTTAAAAATAATTTATGTCTTTTACTAATTTATGAAATAACCTTGAAAAAAACATATAATTTAATTAGTCTACAATCCTAGATTTGAACTCGGGACCTCTCGCTTGAAAGTCAAATGCGCTACTCTCGGCTCCATCGACACATATAATATATGGAAATTTATTAAAATGTATGATTTGTTTGTAAATATAGATGAAATAAAAATAGAAATTATTTATCCATTCTACACAAGATTAACTCATTTTAATGTAGGTATATTTAATCTCAATATCTAAAAAGTATACTAGTTTGACAAAATTGTCGTTGATTATCTAGTTTGAGCTCTTTTAGCTCATGAAAACACTAAGCATAGGTACTTGTAGGTATCACTATTTTAAACAAAAAATCTTAGTTCCATATCTTGTGCAAATTAATAATAACGACACAATAATTTTTTTAAATAAAAATATTTCACAAATTCTCTCAAATCAAAGCTCAGAGATGCTACTTTTACGTCTTACACTGTTGCCAAGTCGCACAAAAAGTGTACTCTCAAACTATTTATTACCAAAAGTTCACCAATTAATTTCTAATTTTCCTTGTCCTTACAATATTTTATAATATTATAACTATAATTGTCTTTGTTTTACCCACCTAGCACCCCTATTCACTCCCTTTCCCGTAAAATTGATAATATTAAATAAAAAAAAATGGCATTATTTTATTCAAAAAAATGATTTGTGTTCTCATTATTTAGGTATTTGCACAAGATATGGAACTTAGGTTTTTTGTTTTCAATATCAATACCTACAAGTACGTATGCCTAGTTTTCCGTAATCGGAAAGAGCTCAAAGTAGATATTTACCGAAATGTCACTTATTTAAAATTTAAAAAAATAATAGCCCAATGACCAAAATATGAACTGTGATTGGTGGATTTCATATTTCTGCATTATTCTTACTAGGTAGAATGGATATGAAATTTATTATATATTTGGTTTGTTCCCAATTAGATGTTACGATTAGTTTGCAATTAGTACTTGAACTGACCTAAGCGCATGTCATACATGAACTACGTTACAAATTAGTAAAAAGTTTTGTTCTATAGACCTTTTTATCATGTGATGTTTTGATCGACAATGGCTGGGAAAGCAATATTATCTCTACAGAGAAATTAATCATTAGAAAAAAAAGTTGATGGTGATTAACTTTTTTAAAACTGTATGGAAGCGCATAGTTGTGTGCAGTTGAAAAGGTGGTTGAAGTGTCTTGGACGTTTGTTACAAAGGAACAAAGTGGACTGATTGAGAGGTTAGGTGTATCAATACTTCTTAACTGTGTAAAAAATTAATAAAAACAAATAATAATTATAATTCTATTCTAATTAATTATGCCAACCAACTATTATTACTTGCAAAAACACTTTAATTAACATGAAAGTTAATCACAAGTATAATTTATAAAATAAATTATTTAATATTTTGAGGATCAACATGACATTTTTAATCATATTACTATGTATAAAGTAGTATTTAATATTAAAAAAATATTGTTTAATACCAGATAAGAATTTTTTTCTGTTGGACCACTTTCTCCATGAAAATGCAGTGAACAAATATTATATTTAGTAACATCATTAATCCATCGAAAACCGTTGTCACATTTTTTTACACCTAATGCACATTTTGAACATGTTTTAATTGGATTTTGCCTGATAATTTTTTACGATATTGCAGCCAAGGCTTTGGAAAATTTATAAAATAATATGTACAGCCTTTGAATGAATATACCGTGTGTCACTTTTACATAACAACACCGTTTCGTTGTTCCTTTCCATACAGATAACATAATTATAATTAATTGCAAAAATGTATTTTGACACTAAACTTATTATTACTTTACTTTTTCTTCCTTTTTTAAATGAATATAAGTACTTAAATTATTATTATCGATTATAATTTTTTTCACTTGGGCATTTTAACATGCTTGTTTACAAAAACAGTACGAAAAAGATGACAGATACTGACGCATGGGCACAAAAAAAATTTGAGATGAAAAGGTCTATTGGGAACGCTTATAATGGAAATTGTCATGAATGACATTAGAGGTTGGGTAAATTGTCCGCTGGATATAGCCCCCGAAAAAAGTATCAGTAGAATTTATAAAAATATTTATTATACATAATTATAAATGGCCTACCTAAATAGTTTTCGTTTTTTTTCTGGGCTCTCCATACATTACAAAAAACTCGTCTTCTTCGTAATCACTCGAATCACTACTTGACGGAATTCTGTCTTCGTCGCTCATTTTTATAAAAATACCAACAATAACAATAATAATTATCTCTACACGAGTATTATTAGTATATTAGTCGCCAAATTATCAATAAAAAGTTGGGTTAAGTTTACCGAATGTAGATGGAGATCGTTTTGAGCATGCATTAACTTTTCGTACATGCTTTTTAGCAAGGACTGTTTTGATCATCCGCAAACTAATTAATGTACTAGTTTGTGTTTATTGGGAACAGCCAACCCATCGTGCATGTACTATTCTACAAGTGATTGGGAACACTTTTATGCTATTGCGCAATTGAAAACTATTCTCGTACAATCCAAACTGCGATTGGGAACAAACCTTATATTCGTTCAGTTGAACGCAATGGCATACTTTTTCGTTTTGTAGTCTAAAATCCATGTGGGTGTAGAACAAATTGTTGGCGTATCTTTTTTTCAGTCACCTTCTTCTT